ACTCTAATTGACCACTGCCACAGTAACTAAAGCTAAAGCTTTCATAATTAGGGATAATTAAAGTTTAGTTTTTTATACACTTGTTTTCTTTTTATAGCATTCTTGTTAGGTTTACTTAGAAGTAGGGATACTGGTATCGGTACCGATACCAGTACCAACACCAGTATCGGTATCGGTAAAAGTTAACCGATACCAGGAACCGATACCAATGCAGTTGCTTGAAAATGGCTTCACTGTAACTTGTCATTTCTGTTCACCTAATATTTTAGTTTTGTGATGATTTCCATTCATATATTTTACTTTTTATCTACCTCACAGTCTTCCTGTTGAAAGCAGAGAAGAAAATAAAATCTGTATTCCAAATCATTGAATTTTTTTGTGTGGTAGAAGTATCGGTATCGGTAATCGGCATCAGCGAGTACTCAGATCCAAGTATCGGTATCGTATCGGTTTGGAAAAAAGAGGTGTCGTGCATCCCTACTTGGAAGAAAGAAATAGTGATGTTTTTTGTTCACAAGCAATTCAAAAATATAAAATAAAAAATTAAAATAAATAACATTTTTAGAAGATTAAAAAAATATTAGGATTAGGGTTTTGCTCTTGGCATTGTGTCAGAAGGTGAAAAGTTTGCAAGTGGTGCTGGCTGCAGAACCACAAAGGCAGAGCTGCACCAGAAGGTAGTGCTGCACCATTCAGCCCCGCCCATTCCAGAGTCAGCGCTCCAGCCCGCACCGTGCAGCGATCATTTCGGCGTTGGCTCTATTTTTTTCCCAAGCCGCGAGTGAATCGCGTCAATTCTGGCAGGAAGTCAAACCTAGACATAAGAGGCAGGCCGGTAAAGTTAACAAAATAAAGCATTTCAAAATAAAATTCCGCAATAGTCAAATGTGTTCGTAATCAGACACTGCAGAAAAACCACACGAACACACACACACATTGAACTTGTGTGTGTGTGTGACCACGTGAAGGGGTGTGTGGTTTGGGGTGTCTTTTTACCGGAGCAAACAGGACAGAGAGGCAGAAAGTCTGAGGCAAGCAGTTAAGATGGATGACTTTAAATTAATTATGGAAGTTGAGAAACACAAGGAGCTGTACGCCCCCTGAAAAACATGGTTATTTATCAACCCATTTCGGAGGAAACTGCTAGGATACAGCTGCAGAATTGGAGTGGGTTCCAAGAGATTCAACTGGCAGAAACAACTCATACCATAGGTTCACTCACACACACACACACACACACACACACACACACACACTTAGCTTAGCTTAGCTTAACAAGGGCGCCAAATGAAGGCGGTCCCATTTTCGCGGCGCTTCCGCGGCCAGTGTGTCCCTGGCGTTATATTGTCATTTCCTCATAAGAAATACGCCTAAGCCATTTTTGGCCTCATTCACTCATTTTCCTCCCATCTCAGCTTCAATTTGGTCTCCTCCCCTGAAGCAGGTCTGGTCTTGGTTCTCAAATCTGGATATTCTGTGAATTTTCTGACGAATTATTTCTGAAATGACTTCTACTGAGACACCGCCGAAAAACCATACATCCCATCTACAAAAACACACTGGATGGCACAATTACGTGTGATGCCACTAAATTGATATTAGATGTAGTGGTGAAGTGGTTATGCAGTCAGCTTTGTATGTAGTTTTGCGCAGGTTCGCCTCCCGGTAGAGACGCAAACTTTTTTCTTCCTTTCTAGCTATACTTGCCAGTACTATGTTTTAACCATTTATTAGTATACCATTTAAAATATAATGACTAATGTGTTTTTTTGTTGTTGTTTATTTAGCCAGTGTGAGTCCATTTGTGAGCAGAGTTTCAACTAAAATGCTGTTTAGGAACGACCAAATTCAAAGAACTTTTAGAGACATAAATATTTTGCAGAAAATAAACATTACAACTAAAATATAAACAAATTAAATGTTTCAGCTGGCTAAATAGATAGCTGCCGACCCCACCGAGAGTCGAACCAGCATCAGCAGAGGTGAAAGCCAAACTTAAGTTTGACAATCTTACCACTATAATTGTTCTGATGCTGTTGTAGCCGAGTAGCCCACTTTTGTTGGAGCAGCTGTGGGCAGATATTACTGAAAGAAACCTTTTCATTTCGGGATATATTCAGGCTTTGTCATGTAGCAAGTTATATTTATCTTGCTTAATTGGAGCATAGAACATAGCATTAACATTTGTAAACTAGTAACAGCCGTAATTCATGTGGGTCAGGTTAGTTTGCGATAAAAAATAAATAAACAGAAGAAGTCAGTGGGTTAGGCTGTTTGCGTGAGTGGGCGGGGCTGACTCTGGTGCAGCTCCACCTTATGGTGCAGCTCAGCCTTTGTAGTTCTGCAGCGAGCACTCTCTCAAAGTTTGGGGCGTTTTGGTGGCAGAGGTGTTAAAGCTACTTTCCGGAGTATTTCTCTTATCCGATGACACCATCTAGTGGCTGACAAGCATATCACACTCCTTCCGTTTTTTTAAGATGGCGACTTCATGTTTCTTGTTTATAAATGTGCTTCTGTAGCCGGCAAACAGAGCTTAAACACGTTGTTTTACGAGTATTTTTCTCATGTCATGTTGTGTTCTCATATATTTATATTTTAGAGACTTACTTGTCTGTGAAAAGTTCATCAACTCTGCATTTGCCAAGGTATTCCTCAAATTTGAAGCACGTGAACGGTAGTTTAACACTATTGGTTAGTTTTGGTCGGCGCTCAGTTTCCTATTGCACGGAGCTCTGCGGGGCAGGGGGCGTGTTTAGAAAAAAATAAAGACGTATTGCTTACATTATTTCACATTACATCATAAGATAATCACTTTTAAGGATTTTTAATAAATCATACATAATTTCTGAAAGGGGAAAACTCCGGAAAGATACTTTAAGTGCCCGCCCTGCAACTGAAGGGGATTTGATAGTTCATGGGCAAGACACTTCACCCTCCTTGCCTGCTGGTGGTGGTCAAAGAGGCCAGTGGCCTGCTCCATGAGTTCATTTTTTCAATAATTATTTTAAAGTGTAGTTAAAAAGCAATGTCTGCCTTTCATTTTTTTTAACAATTACTTGTTCAAAAGAAATGTCCACAACTTGGAATCAGTCTAGGACCTTCTGCAAATGCTCAGTGATGACATTTCTATGCAAGCCGATGTCTAAGTCCACCTTATTTTTTCATGTTACTTATGGAGAAACGATTATGTAAGCAACATCTGGTGAGATACCAGAACTAGCGCATACTCATTGGGTTACATGGTGGGTTTTTTTTGCTAGTAGGGGTTCAACTGAATATTTGAAGAGGATTAAAAAAATTATTTGCCCCTTAAAATGGTACTTGCGTGGCTCGGGAAGATGTTGCACCGTTCGCGGTTGTACTAACAAGCAGAGAAAATTAAATTAGTGGCTACAAGAGCGATGTTTAACACGTACCTCAGAGTACAAGAGAGTGCAGCTGCCAGCGTCGGTGCAGCGTTCACCGCCTCCCCAGAGATGAGGAACCCAGAGGAATGTGGCTGAAAAATCACCATATACTTCATTTGTGTGTTCGTTTCATTTTGTTGTGAAAAACTCAGAGAGGAACCCTCGCATCTTCAGAGAAGAGAAGCCGGGTAGTCTCACTAGATGATTTCATGCGTACAATTTTCTGAATCGTCATAATGTAACAAGTGCCACCCTGCAGTGTGATGTAGAAACTGAATAGGTGACGAGGAATTTAAGGCTCCGACTCAGCTTTACATCTCCTTTTAAGTAAATAAGATTGTGTGAATCCGAAAAGAGTAGAATGCCTTCTCCGGGTCAGGGATGAGGTCCTCCACATCGAGAGGAGCCAGTTGAGGTGGCTCGGGCATCTAGTCAGCATACCTCCTTGTTGCTATACAGGCACTGATAAGCCTTGGAGCTTTTAAGATTGTTTATTGCCTCGCTGTAGCTAAGTACCTAAGATGCTACTGTATGTGTACTGTACTCCCACCCCTTTGGCTCAGTAGGCAGAATGAGTGGAACGGTGTCCCGTTTGAGCTGTAACAGCTAGTGCTTACACGTTTTTCATCTCTAAAAGACCATAAAAGTAGGATGTGTCGAGAAGGGCATGCATTGTATCCTACACCAATGCTGATGTCACATCTTTCGTGCAAAGCATCACGGGCTGTAAGAATACATTGGATTGGTTAATGCTGAGAGGCTCTCGATTCAGTTTGCATTAAGATCTGCGAGATGGAATGGGCTTACCAAATAAAGAAAAAATGATATATCACCTACATTAAATCTCTGTACTGAAAATTCTAAGAAATCTTATTACATAAATCTTTAAAGGGGGAAAACTCATGGATTGCTGCTTTAATATAGAACAAAAACACCAAAGCAACATCTGGTGTGTGGAGGTTGTATAGTTACAACAACAGAACAAGTTTTCCATCGTATACCAGGTTCACTGCCGATATGAGAAATGACCAGCCAGCCTCATGTCCAGTGACGAATCGCAACGGGTAAGGACTCATTTCTACTAATATGTTTATTTTACAAGAGTATATAACATTAGAACATCTTCTGGACACAGAAGCAGCTGCTTGACTTGCAGAGTCCGCCATTTTCCACAAGGCTGGTCCTATTTGGGAACCCGCAACGGTGCCCTCTGTTGGCTGGTAGATGTAAACATAAACCCAGTGTTGTGCCCGTCACAATAAATATGCATTTTTTAAAATTAAAATATATGCTTTTTATTACATTGTTCCATATTCAACCTTTAAAGACAACTATTACTGAATCAATCTATTTTCGAAAGCTGCTTCATCCTGATCACAGTCTCATGGAGCTACTGTCTGTCTCCATGAGGAGCAGGGAACACCTAACCGCAGGTCTAAGTCAGAATAAAATGTCTCAAATAAGTGAAAGTCAAGTGTCTGTTGACTATTTATCCTGTTCTCACAGTTCAGAGGATAGTTATCTCAATGGCAATGAAAAGAGGTTTGGTCTGTCTTAATCTTATCATCTCACTTCAAACCTGGGACACGGCTATACCACAGCGGATCAAGCTCAAGGTTCATCTGCGTGGTCAAAGTTTGTGAATGGTTCTCCTCGTGGTGGCGTTGAGCAGAAAAGGACGTCTCCGTCTGATGTGACTCGGCTACTTTGAGGTAAATGGGTGAGCTGAAGAGTCAACGTGGGTCCGGCGGGTTCAGCACCCTGGAAAAATGGCTGCTGTTTCTTTTCGTGGCATTGACCTGTGTCTGCATCGGCCTTGTGGCCATTTACTTTACCGACAAGGATGACTCTTCCTCCCACAAGGAAGGTAAGTGTCTGGAATAATGACATGCACTGTGTTTGGATCTCACGGTATTCCTGTAAGGAGCTGCAGTGAGGTGCTGATATTGCACACTTTAACACCTCAGACAAACATTATGAAGCCTCCATTCCACTGACACACATATGTGCTTTTGTTTTTTCTGGGAAGTGATTGTTTACATTTAAGCTAATTTACCAACTTTTCACCAACTATAGGTCACAATAAGTAAATGATCGCCATATTTTGCAATAAAGTGTTTTAAATCAGCATTTTATGGGAGCAACGAGGTAAAGAAAAAAGTGGTGAGAGGTTTTCTGAACATGATCAACTCCAATCACGAGTTTATCAAACTGTGTCGAAAACTATGCCAAATTTTAAGTTTTTCTTCCATTTGTTGCCAGAATTTCTTCTTTTACATCTCATTTACTGAAGCTATTAAACACAAAAAGGTTGTTAGAATTGGGAAGAATAACCTGATCAACATGAACTATCTGCATGAAGTAAACTTGAGTTTAAAGTACAGTCAGTTCCACGCAAAGCACATGAAAGGTGCATGTATGGTCTTGTTCAGAGTTATCATCAGACTAAAGATAAGTTTTGTTAATAAATGCAGCTTTCAGGGGGCTGCTGCTGCAGAGGACGGCAGCTTGTTAACCAAAGCTTCTCAGCTGGTTTTGATTTCTTTAAGTCTGAATTCCATTAGACGTTTTAATGATTTAGATGTCATGGGAGACATTATCCGTCACCCCCTCCTGGGTTGTTTTAAGTGAAACAACAAATCAGCATCTCAGTAAGCTTATCGCTCAAAGTGGATCCAGTTGCTCAATAATTCATCTGATTTTGGAGAAACGTGGTATCTGTGAGGACAAACAGCAGATATTCTCCCTTTGTCCTGTCCTCAGGAAAAAGAAATTATATTTATCACATAAAATGAATGCAGAAAATAATCAATAAATGTAAGAAAGAGGAACCCTTGTTTGGATCATTTTGTGCCTCTAGCCAAACCCCCATGAGGTGAGATTTTCTCACTGCCGGTGTGTAACGGGAAGAGCCTGAAGAAAAACAAAATACAGTCACGTTTTTGCATCTGACAACAATCCCAATGATGGCTATGGCCAGAAATCTACTTTAAATCAGAAATCGTGGATCATTGACGGCAATATCTGACCTGGAATCAGCTTCATCACAAACCTTTTATTTTCCAATAATCTCTTGTTTTTTTAAACATCTTTGGTACGTTCTTGCTGCGTCTGATTTCTAATTCTATTTTTGGTTCTTTTTTAAAACACAGAAAATGTTTCAAAAATAGAATCTCTTGTTTTTGACTTTGTGATATAAAGGTCTGCTATTGATTGAAGGAATTTGAGATGATTTGATATAGAAAACATAATGGCGTTAAAACCATTATAATAAAATCCTGAAATGAGCGTAATCTTGAATCTAACACAGTATTGTAAGATCTGACACTCTGTCAGCAGCTGGAGTGTGTGATACTGCACAATCAAAAAAATACAACAAATAATTTAAAAGGGAAACATTTGGCTTTATGTACCACACTTATTTGGGCCTGAAGGTAAGTAAGTGCTCTTTTTTAGGGCCTTATCTTTAATAAAAAAATGTGTAGGTATGTAAATAATGATGGAGCAACCATGAAACAAAACATGTGGACAAGATAATCTACCAACAGGTTAGTTCAGTGTTATTATTGATTTGATTTGAAGATTTGGGCTTCAAATCCCATTCAGGGGGACAGCAGTACTTGTGTGGCAAGGTGAAGAGACGACGGTCCGGGCGGGATTCGATCCCCAGACTCACGGGTGAGAGTCATGCGCGCTAACCAGTCAGCCAAAGGGACATACCCTTGGCCAAGGTACCCAGGGCGCATGATCAATCAGGACACTGTGACAGGACGCTCACACTGTCTCATCGTCCCCTTCTTTCCACAAGCACGTCCTCGACATATCCCCCTGCCCCACCTCAAAACTACGTTCGTGAGTGTGGCGGACCTGTTGCCCTCCAGGAGGCACTATAGGTGCATCGCATCCAGGACAAACAGGCTCAAAAACGTTGGTTACATATTGTAACCATCGACATTAATATATGGACAATGGGTTTCCATAGCCTCCAACAACAAGTTTTTGTGCTAAAATGGGAGGTGGCCACCACCGCCATTTTGACCGTGTCACAGGTTCCGTCAAGCCCAGACAATTCCATAAAAGGGAAGAGAGGAGGAGCTGAGGGTGGGGCTGTAAGGCTGGGATCAACTGATGACACCCAGTCGAACTAGCTACAAGCTAACCTGAAGCTAACCCAAAGCTAATGCGGAGGTGGGAGCTAAGCTAATGGAGGTAGCAACCTAGCTACAACCGGTGTTAACTGTGCACAACACCAGAGCTTCTGAGTCAGAGATACGCCGGGCTGACCACTGGGTAAAACCGGGTGGAACACAGAGGTCTCCGAGACCTCCACAAGCCGGCAGCTGCACAGCAGACAAGCGCCGCTGCGCAGAGCTGCCGCTGGGGAGAACCGGGTGGAAAGGTTTCCATCCCAGAGCTCCACAAGCCATCAGCCCGCCGCAGCACACAGAAGCCGCGATCAGACAGAAATGCGCCGAGCTGCTGGGAGAACCAGCCGTCAGCCCGCCGCCGCACACAGAAGCCGCGATCAGACAGAGATGGACCGGGCTGCGGGGAGAAACAGCCGGCATTCCGGGTAGAAAACATTGGTCTCCCGAGAGCTCCACAAGCCGATAGTGGGAACCCAGCTCCACCAACATGTTATATTTCAACCCATTTTCTAAAGTGCAGCATTGTGTTAAATGCACTGGGTTTTACCCTTTTACATTTAAATTTCATGGTTAAACAGTACATGTTAAAATCTAAGCTCAGCTCGGCAGTGACCTAAAATACATAAATATAATTTTACTTACCGAAAAAAATGAAGTGGAGACTCCTTGGACGCTCTATTAGTGCAATTAATGCCACAGCAAGTCATTTTGTCCAACAATTGCACAAAAAATATCCAAAAAAGAATACACACACACACAGAGACTCAAAATCCCGGAGCAGTTTCCAAGCCAGACCGAGGCTCTACTGAGGCCTTTCCACGGAGCTAGCTCTGTGATCACGTGGGTCTGATGCTCATTAATTATACAGAATTTTAGGCTTTTAACACACTTAAACAGAAGAGTGAGAAAAATATTCACCTCCCTCAGAGTTGTCATGAGTGTAAATTAGATGATTTAAACCAAAAACATGTTTTGGTACCAGGCTGTAAACATGTTTATTTCTGGTGTGAAATTGGTATTTTTAACATGGGAGTCAATGAGGATTTGCTCGCTTCTGACACCAGCCCCCAGTGGATGAGGGTGGAACTGCAATTTTGGTACTTCCGGGTTGGCACCAATTTTAGAGCCGCATTGTGGGGGCTTGATTGTAACCCGCAGATTCTATGAGTACTGCATAGCCTTTTAAGCTACACCTCTTGGGTATGTCCAGCCTATCACAAAGATATTTTTGTGTACGCCCACCTAAGAGACAGGTCCTTGTCCTATAAGAGGACTAAGAACCATAATTCTTCTCCATAAGGCTTGAAGAGTCCCCCCAGAACCAGTGGGGCTATGTAACTTAAAAGGCTATGCTATGCTCACAGAAACCGGGGTTACAATATGTAACCAACGTTTTATGTCGTATAGCTCTGCCTTTTAAGCTACGCCTAATGGATAAAAGGCGGAGCCTGATGTAGTCCACGCCACATTGGTTCAGAACCGATCCTTAGCTTCCACCTATTGAAAGTCTCACAGATAGCTGCCAGCAGGCGTAAAACATGATTAAGCAGCATGGGAGAATAATGACAATCAATCAGCATAAGGATATTCTGTCATTGTGATGAAAATAACCCATTAGGGATAGATGTGTAAGGACCGTGAGACGTTAAGATCCCATATCGAGTATGGGGTCAATCTTACGGACCACTGGGTTATTTAATCAGAAGACTGGAACTTTTTAATGTAGGGATTAGATAACACATTGTATTATTGACTAACAGTTATTTTTGATTAGCTTTATTAAAGATATAGTTCTTTGATTTAATAAAAGAAAATAATCTTTTAATCTTCTTTCTTCTTTTGCTGGAAAGTAAACAGTTTAGAAGCAAATGCATGACCTTGAGGCTGTCTCATGCACTCGGGCGCTGTGTCAGAGGCAACTGTGGAAAGAGGTTAAATAACCTTGAGGAATAGCTCCTTCATCACGTTACAGATGACAATCACCTGGTCACAGCAGATGTTTGTGAACACGAGGGATAACGGAGGGTGAAAAATGCATAGTGGAACTATGCAGAACATATTCAGCAGGTGAGCTCAGACTGAACTGTGAGCTAGCACCACACTGGCAGCAAGGCCGGTAGATACGGCTTTCAAATAGAAACACACAAAGGAAGATGACAAGGACCGCGATGCAGCCATGCAGATGTCTGATACGAACATTCCAGCTCGCAAAGCCACAGAAGATGAAACTGCTCGTGTAGAATGCGCTCTTAACAGGACTCCATACCTCAGGGTGACTGGGTTCTCCCAGTGCTGGAGATCCTGTCTTAATGAAGGAGGAGCAACCAGCACGACGTTTGTGGCACAGTGGGTCTATCTTGAGATGTCTGAATCAGTGTTCAATGCATCTCATGTGTAGTAAACCCACATGGCTCGCCGCCATCATGCCCAACAGTCTCATGACAAACAGGGTTGTGAGCGCGGTGCCGGCGGATTCATGACTCTGGACTGTGACGAGCGAGCGCTCATGACCTTGGAGTCCAACTTTAACGTGATCAGCTGAAAGAGGATCATAGCGTTTCTCTCCCAGTTTATGGAGAAACCCAGCATGAGCAGGTGTTCCGCTAGCATTTTCGCTTGTGAGTTTGCTTCATACTCGGAGTGGGTCAAGACTGTGCTTGGTGTGGGAAAACATGTGTGAGAGGATAGCAGAAGGATCGTCCGAACCATCTGCAGCCGGAGACTGTCACAGGAATGTGTTCTCAGGGAATGATTTATTTCAAATAACATTCATAAACACAGTCATGATCACACACATTTGCTGCATAGAGCCCACCCGATGTCGAGCTTGAAGAATGGAGACAGCGTCCGAGTGCTGGTTCTGAACAGAACTCGGACCAGCTATACCTGCAATGGTGGAGAGCTCTGCAGATTTCCGTGCTCTCGAGAGCACTGCAATAATGTGGATCACACAGCTCATCCAAGATGACTGAACCAGTGTCAGCTGCAGAGGTCTGGGCAGTGCAGACGAAACAGCAGAGCACAGATTCAAGTCATATGCTTCAGCAGTCCTGTTAGCAGCGCAAAGCAGAAGAAAACACTGGGTACAGTGAATGAGCTGCGTCATACAAGCCATGATTAGTGGTGGGAACAACACGCTGACCAACTAGCTTTAGCACAAGCTGTGAAGCTAGGTCAGGCTCCACTCCCTCTAATGTTGGTCCAGTATCCCAATTCTACTGGGAGCCGAGTAAGAACTGGGTTGAAGCAGCGAAACTGGACTGCGCTGTGTTGGCCCATTAGGTCATTCGATTTAGGCGGCACAGGGGCTGGAACATAAAGCCTTAGCAGTTAGCTAACGGCCAACTAACAAAGTAGCGCTCTGATTTCCGTAAGCAGCATAGAAGAGCACGGGAGACCAGGCTCTGAGTCCCATCAGGCAGCATGGTCGGTCTGTCTCGAATTAAGGCCTAGTCCACACGTAGCCGGGTTTTTTTAAAAACGAATATCCGCCCCTCCAAAAACTTGCATCCACACCACCTTGTTTAAAAAAAACTCTGTCCACACGTACCCGGATAAATACGTTGTTAAGGACATGCCAGACTTGTAGGCGGCAGTACTTCCCCCGTTCTTAACCTCGTCCTTCGTCTGTGGTCTTCCGCAAGGAGCAGTAAAGCTTGGTTTATGCTTGACGCGTTTACTCTCCGCTTGGTGATGCGGCTCGCGGATGGAACACGCTTCACAACTCGCAGCGTTTATGGTTCGTGCGGCTCGTCTCTGCGGTGAGCCAATATTCTCCCAAACTGTAGAGGGCAGCATGGAGCTCTACGGCATGCATCCAACACTACACCATAGTAGAAGTAAAAATGACTGTTTACAACATGGCATTCCAGCATTTTTCACAGCGTCCTCGTCTTTTCCGACAGTGCGAGCTATTTCTCTCCAAGAAGTATTAACAACATGTTGATCACGGTGATCTTTGAGAGCTGAATCATACAAATGTCTGTATTTACCAACCTCTGCCATACTAGTTCTTGCCGGTCCACCATGTTTTTCCGCGTCCGACCGTCCGCGTGGTTAGAAATTTTCCGAGGTGCGCGTTGCGGAAATTCTGGGCCGTGCGGAGGCGCGGTGGAGGGGCGTGATTATTAAAATGACGCAAAATGACGCAACTTTTCCGCGTGGAGCCGTGCGGACCTCGCGGACGCGTCAAGCATAAACCAACCTTAACTCCGCTTGCAAAAACAAACAAGCAAAAAGCGCTTGGACAATTGATAAAGCGAGTGCAGCTCTGAGGGCATCCATGCTGTCGGCTAGTGTAAACACAGGTCGCACACGTGATGTCAGCATTTTTTTTGTCGCGGAAAGTGACGTTGCGGACCTTAAAACTCCGGTTTTGTCTGTCCACACGCAGACACCCAAAACAGAGAAAACGCAGATCTTCACTTTGGCCGGAGTTTTTAAAAAGATCCGTTTTCGTGTGAAAAAACTCAATTTTCGTGTGGATGACAGGCCAAAACGTAGAAAATATCTACGTTTTGGCAGATCCCTGGCTACGTGTGGACAGGGCCTAAGTAAAATAAACCCAGTACCTGTCCGGGGAATGTGTCCAGCCGAGAAGTAAGATGTATCTCGTGGAGCACACGGGCAAAGGCAAGCGGCTTCGCTGGACATGACACTTTCCAGTTGGTTGCTCTTGTCGTGTACGAACGCAAAGAGGAAAAAGGAGAAGAAAAGATGCTTCAGTAAGATTAATGTTATGAACTTCATTTGTCGTTAATTTCCAGGGCCTCTGTCGGGGTGTGGTGGTTCTAAGGAGATGACTGAAAACTCAGGCACCTTCACCAGCTGGAACTACCCCAACAGTTACGACAATGGCAAGAGCTGCACATGGAGCATCACCGTGGACCCGAACAAGGTGGTCAAAATCATCACAGCTGCTCTTCAAAATGTCAACGCTGTTGTGGTCTTCGTTTATGACAGTAAAAATCTCTACAAATAATTAATCATCTCTTTCAACAGATACATACAAGTGATTTTATCCAAGAAAACAAGGGTTCTAGTCTAATAAGCACAAATATTTACTTTTTTAAATCACATTTGACACCATATCCCTACGTTCCAGGAGTGTTCTGCTCCAAACAGTTCACCCGTGTTTGTTTCAGAGCCACTTTGAGCCAGGTTTCTGATCATTAGCGTTTGTCAAGTTACTGTTATGGAAACTGTTTAATGTGAAGCCCAGCAGTAGAGGACAGCTGGGACGGATACAGCGGTAGCACGGCGGACAGATGGCTGCCTTGTCTGCTTCGTTTTCCTCGGCTCTTCTCTGCAGGCCCACAGGAGAAAATAAAATCATTGATCCTTCCTTTTCCTGCCAGCGCGGCTGCAGCCCTGCATGCCTCGCCCAGCAGCTGCTTTTTTCTTTCATTTCACACATAAACAGAAACTATAAATGCACGGACATGTGTTATCTAGCACACACATGTCACTGTGCACTCGCTCTCGCAGATTCTGTCAGCTAACAGTCTCACTGACTGACTTTGATGTGTGAAAAAGGAATAATGAAGCAGCTCTGCATGTTTCTGCTGCAGGTGATTCATCTGTGGTTTGAGGAGTTTGCTTTGGAGGACACTCAGCTCTGCACGGCTGATTTCATCACACTGAGAGACACATTGGGAACTATTGGTAACAGTTTTCCTTTGTTTGAAAGGCTGACATCATGCAGTGCACCGTTCCTTAGTAGAGACAACGTTAATGAGAGGTTGGATTACAATTCAGAGAACAAAATGACATCTTAAAAAAAACTGAAAAATTCATATAAATAACTATTTGACTAAAAAACTCTATTTTTGTATTTTGACAGTTGCTTTTGAACATTTGAAACCTTTGACAAAATGAGACAAAAATGTGCAAAAGGGTCTGACAAGCAAAAGAAAATCTGATTTAAGAGGGAAAAAGTGGTCTCTAGTTCATTTTGCATCACTATTTCGTTATATCTGCAGGTAAATACTGCGGCTACACCAAACCCAGGCCTGTTGTAACGGTTTCAAACCACCTGATGTTCTACTTTGACACAAACGACAGGAAAACAGACCAAGGATTTAAGGTTCATTATAAAGCCGTGTCTCCAGAGCTCGCATCGGGTAAGCGTCCAACTTCAGATGGGAAGAAAATCCTGTTTCCTCATGTGATGTTGAATTTTTGCAGCGCAATGTCAGAGTAAACACAGTAAGCGTTGTAGAGTAAAAAACTGGGTGAGTGAAAAAAGGAATAAAGAACAAAGGAGCTGGTTTGAAGTTGTCCTCCAGTTGTTGCGCAGCTCAAGTATTCTTCATCGCTGTTGCCAGAAATAACCGGAGCCGGCGGGTTTCTCCAAGGTGATCAGGGGGATCTGATGACTCCGGGCTTTCCAGATCAGAATTATCCGAATGGAGCGCTTTACCAGGTAACATCCACATTTATCAGACAGATGTTTATATTTGTAGGACTGGGAATAGATCACTACATATTGTTTTAAGTTTATGTCTTAGGGATTCTTTGCAACTTTTTCATACTTTCAAATCCTTTTCTTAAGTATGTGCTAAAATGTCCCTTGCAGAGTTAATGAAAAGTCACATAGATCCACACCACCCTCTGTGGCCAGGATACTGCATTTGCATCTTCAGAGTTGTTGGTCTGGGCTGCTAGGCTTAGAAAGAAATGAGCTGGCATACCTGGTGCTGCAGTCTGCTTCAAGCATGTCTCATGCGTGTGTTTAGATCCTTAACACAGCCGACTTGTTTAATTTAGTGAAGAATCACTTCTGTAGACACTAATGAAGGCTGGAGACACATTTCAGCTGTTAGTTTAGGCGAGGAGATAGGATTTAGTTCTACTAAACAGACACTAGGGGGTGCTAAAAGCAAGTCGTATTGGATGCTTTGAAGTTTTTGTAAAAAAAATATCTGAGAGGTCTTTGAAAGGCAAAATCCATTTTCACCATCAGTAATTCCATAAAACAACATCTTAGTGACTTAAAGACTTCAGGAGAACTTGAGTACATGTGTACTTTGAGTCAGGTGTTGTTACGTCCCCGACAGGAGATGTTAAAATGTGAAGGAGGGGGTAACATAAGAAATGTGACAGTGGAGTTAAAATGGTTTTAATTGTTGTAGAAGGTTCTAAAAATGAGCAAACAGATGGCGAGCATTAGAAAGATAACGCAAAACAAACAAAAACTATCAAAAAGGTTAACATTACACCAATTACCAACTATAAAAACACCTGGTTAACACTTATATTAAAAGCTTTACTGAACAGAAGGTGTTTTTAAAATCCCGAAGTTGATAAAAGTCTGAAACAATCTACTGACTGAATACACCTGGTAAAAACTTAATGTCAAAGTTTTTCCAAACAGAAGGGGTTTAAAATCGGAGTCAATAAAATTGCATCAAACCACATTAACCTTAACAAACGAAGACCCATTTGGATCTCTCAGAGTTACAACTATCAAAGTTAAAACTCATCAAAACGAAGGGTTAAAACCAAAATGAGGCCTGGAGGACAGAAGAACCCCTGCACTGCTGCCTCCCCAAAAAGGTTAACATTAAACCAATTACCAACTATAAAAACACCTGGTTAAAACTTATTAAAAGTTTTACCGAACAGAAGGTGTTTAAAACCGGAGTCAATAAAATAGCAACAAACCACGTTAACCTTAACAAACAAAGACCCATTGGGATCACTCAGAGTTAAAACTATTTAAGTTAAAACTCTTCAACTCGAAGGTGCTGAAAACAAAATGAGGCCTGGAGGACAGCCGAACCTCTGCACTGCTGCCCCCAGACTGCTGAAGGCACAGCCTTTTTATCCCAGGTGTGGGTCATCAGAAGGATTCAGATCAGCTGTGCTCCTCAGCAGCCTGGAAGAGAGCAGGAGGAGGGGCGGTGTCAGGCTGATCACGGGGGCTGGATGATCCTGGCTCCTGAATCTCACTGGCCATGCTGGTAGCCGTAACAGGTGTGATGGAGTAGGAAAACTTCTTAAAAATACAGGATAGTAGGACTGGACACCATTAACTTAGGCCTAGTCCACACGTAGCCGGGTTTTTTTAAAAACGAATATCCGCCCCTCCAAAAACTTGCATCCACACCACCTCGTTTAAAAAAAAACTCTGTCCACACGTACCCAGATAAATACGTTGTTAAGGACATGCCAGACCTGTAGGCGGCAGTACTTCCCCCATTCTTAACCTCGTCCTTCGTCTGTGGTCTTCCGCAAGGAGCAGTAATTCCGCTTGCAAAAACAAACAAGCAAAAAGCGCTTGGACGATTGATAAAGCGAGTGCAGCTCTGAGGGCATCCATGCTGTCGGCTAGTGTAAACACAGGTCGCACACGTGATGTCAGCATTTTTTGTCACGGAAAGTGACGTTGTGGACCTTAAAACTCCAGTTTTGTCTGTCCACACGCAGACACCCAAAACGGAGAAAACGCAGATCTTCACTTTGGCCAGAGTTTTTAAAAAGATCCGTTTTTGTGTGAAAAAACTCAGTTTTTGTGTGGATGACAGGCCAAAACATAGAAAAATATCTACGTTTTGGCAGATCCCCGGCTACGTGTGGACAGGGCCTTAGATCCATGCGTGGACACTTTGTGTTTTTTTTATTTGCAGACTTATTTTTACTTTTTTTTATTCTATAATAATAGAAGCTCACACAACTTGGGCTGATTTACTCAACCATAAGTCTTTGGTGGGTCTTTACATATAAAACCCAGCTGTTTGAGTGTGAGGCAGGAAGACAGGGGCCAAAATAGTCCATTTATTAGTCCTTGCACACCCTCAAAAATGTGATTTAAAAATAATGATATGCGTGTATTTTTTAAATTAAATTTTACTCCTCAAAATAGGTCCACAACAGGAATTTTAGTAAAAATGTGAGTTTAACGTTAGAAAGTATCATTGTAGAAATGCAATTAGAGGTCTAAAAAAAAAATCACACAGAGGGACACAAATACCTCCCCTGGCCACATCTTGGAATAGCTTAATGTAGATCAATAAGAAAAAAACATGCAATTTATTCAATTTAAGAAAATAAATACAGCAAAACAATAAGAGGAAAACCTAAAGTTTCACAGTTTAAACCTGCACCGTTAGTGATTATATTTTTTTAAAAATCTGCTCAGTTTTGTTTTACAGAAAACTATTTTTAAAAGTTTGTTCAGGTTACCTGAAACTTCAGAACTGCAAAATTCACTTAAAGTCAAAATGCTCAAACATTGCATTATTTAACTTAAGAGGCAGTTTAATGGCTGCATTTTGTCATTGTTTTCTATACGTACACTCTAAGATATGAAATGTTAGATTTACTTAATCAAGTTTTGTCAAATCTAAATCTGAGACCATGGTCTTGATTAGGAAAAGGGTAGAATGCCTTCTCCGGGTCAGGGATGAGGTCCTGCCCCAAGCGGAGGAGTTTAAGTATCTCGGGGTCTTGTTCACGAGTGAGGGAAATCTGGAGTGAGATCGATAGGCGGATAGGTGCTGCATCTGCAGTGATGCGGGCGTTGTACCGGTCTGTCGTGGTGAAGAGAGGGCTGAGTCAGAAGGCGAAGCTCTCGATTTACCAGTCGAACTACGTTCCTACCCTCACCTCATGAGCTTTGGGTAGTGACAGAAAGAACGAGATCGCGGATATAAGCGGCCAAAATGAGTTTTCTCTGCAGAGTGGCTGGGCTCTCCCTTAGAGATAGGGTGAGAAGCTCAGTCATCGGGGAGGGGTTCAGAGTAGATTTGCTGCTCCTCCACATTGAGAGGAGCCAGTCGAGGTGGCTCAGGCACCTGGTCAGGATGCCTCCTGGATGCCTCCCTGGTGAGGTTTTCCGGGCACGTCCAACCGGGAGGAGACCTAAAGGTAGACCCAGGACACGGTGGAGGGACTATGTCTCTCACCTGGCCAGGGAACACCTTGGGATTCCCCCGGAAGAGCTAGCCCAAGTGGCTGGGGAGAGGGAAGCCTGGGCCTCTCGCCTTAGGCTACTGCCCCCCGCGACCCGACTCCGGATAAGCGGATGAAAATGGATGGATGGATGGATGGAAGTTATGTCAACTGGTTCCACTAAACTTTAAATGTAAAGAGTATTACACTTTGTTATATGTTGTTATGTAACAGTAAATTAATATTTCTCTTCACATGGAACCAGTTGGCATAACTTGATTGAGTAAATCCAACATTTCATGTCTGACAGTGTATTTAGTGATAATTGCCAAATAAAAGCCTGTTTAATCTGCCAAACTACTTTCTACTTTAATTTATTGCATTTAAATATAAAAAATCTGATCAAATGTAGTGTTTACTTTTATTGAGTGTGCAAATTTAACAGCATTTCCTTTCACTGGATAAGTGAAGTGTCTTAAACCAGATAAGCATCTAAGCTAAGCAAGTGTCTCTGTTTTCTCCACACAATAAAGAGGTACATTCTTTTTGGACTTCAGCGATAAACACCTTAATGGTTTGAGGTTGTTGATCAGTGATTAATGTGTCTAAATAAAGTAAATCAAAGTCCGGGTTTGGACGAGTCATCATCGCCTCATGCTGCCGTGCTTTGGTGAGACGGCTCACCGTCTGTCCGAGCAGACGCACAATCTGATGGAATATGCATGAGTTATGGTGTGTCGAAATGCAACTCATGTTGTTGCCATGAGACCAGAAAAAAAAGAAAAGCTTGATGCTGATAGCTGTTCGGTCCATCAGTTATTCATCTGATAATTTGTGGATTCTGCAGCATTTTCTGCAGCATGTTAATGTCTCAAATCAACAGAAATTATGAGCACGGATCAAGAGATGTGCATTTATGTGTCTGTTTACTTGTTGAATCAGTGGAGAATCATGGTGCCTGAAGGCGAGAGGGTCCGACTGACCTTTACCGCTTTTGACCTCGTCCCTGAGGTCTGTGGAGACTTTGTTCAGGTTTACGACGGCGACAAACCTGGCTCTTCTTTGACAGGTGAGTAAGCTACAAAAGAAAACTAAATGGCTAATTTGCATGACAATACGCATTTCCATATTGCGCACAAGTCCCTGTTTTGTGTAGAAGTTAGCCGTTCGAGTGAAGAGTCAAAGGTACAACCTCAGAAAAGACTTTGCTTTAAATTAATAACCATGGGGTGCCATGAATAAAAGATGAGCTTAATTAAAAGCTTCAGAAGCTCTGAATGAACAGCTATTTTAAACTTGATGGGTTTATATGTACGCGTGGACTTTTTCATTGTAGCCATGTCAGTAGGTGCCCAAACTAAGTGTATGGTTTTTATTTCACAGGTACATTTTGTGGAGGAAAGATGCCAAAGCCGGTGGAGTCCTTTGGGAACACGATGGTTGTCCGCTTCAAATCCGACAACCGTTTGAATTCAAAAGGATTCAAGGCGACTTACACGAAGTCCAGCCTTCCTCCTGTTGTTATCCCCACAACAACAACAACAACAACAACAACCACCACAGTCACAACAACAACCACCACCACAGTCACCCCCCGACCCACCACACACACCCCAACACCTTCCACCACTCCTGGTGAGTCATCATGTTTAATCTGGCAAACTCTTCTTTTATATCCCCCTGTTCACTTAAGAGGAATAAAGAATTTAATTTTGGAAGTGTTTTTTTTTTTTTTTGGGGGGGGGGGGGGGGGTATTAAGCCTAGGATCAGGAAGACCGTGAGTTTCTGGTTCCAGAAGGAGTTGTGATGCACACTCAGAGAGTTTACTCAGCTGCTGCAATCTGTCCCACCAGGTTTCAGCTCAACAGGGTTTAAACCGTTCCGACACAGCTTCTTTGTGCGTTATTACGATTCAGGGAACACACAAGCCTGCATTAAATGTAATAATGTTGTTTACCAATTGATATTCTGCAAATGACCTCAAATCTCTTTTTTAAAATTGCTTCTAAGTCATCTAACAATCAGGTGCAAGAATTTAAATAACGCTTTATTCATTTAAAAGAAATCTTTATGATAAATCTGATGAACTGGCAGTGTAGGTGTAGGTGCATGTAAGATGAGCGCGTTTAGATCTGTAACTGACAGGGAATCAGGTGGAAATTAGAGGTGAGACCGACACATTCTGCACTACTCTGACTTTTGTAGACAGGTTGTATCGTACTGGAAATCTCACATAAATTCATCCACGTGTGTGTGTGTGTGTGTGTGCGTGCGTGCGTGCGTGCGTGTGTGTGTGCGCGCGCGCGCGCGCACGCGCAGTGATTAGCGCTGTTGCCTTTCAGCACGGAAGCCCTGGGCTCACATGTGAGGTCAAAAAGGAGGATGGTTCTTTATTCTTGACTTACCCAGTCGGCCAAACCGGGCAGCTCGCTAGAACTAAACTGTTCGGAAAATGAACTCTTTTATTAATTAGTGTTTATCAATTTGGGCAAATCAGAATTTGACAAGCTAAAGTGGGCGTTATCAAAAGACCTCAGACACCACCCCTTTAAACACTTAGAGGTTATTTCACCTAATGTGAAGTAACGTGTCAAACATTTATGTGAAGTGAACATATTAACCCTTAATAATAGTGTGGTAATAGTAATATGTGAATATACTGATAGATTAACATGATTAAATTCAACAAATATACTAATGTGGTGTAATTTAAGATCTGAAATAAATCATTATAGAAATAAACATTCATGTTAACCCATCATTCGTCGCTGTAGAGCATTCAACATTATTAAAACTCTAGGTACCACGGAATATGATTCTAACAACCTGTAAAGGTAGAAAGTAATTTGATGAGCCAGAAAGGATGAAACGGGTTTGATTAGGAGTCTTGTGTCTTCACAGGCACCTTGGTGTCTTGTGGATAAGTTAAGGTTCCTGTTCAAGGTCACATCAACACCTCGGTGCCAGACTGGCCTGACCTTTATGAAGAAATCAACCTCCGGCCATTTTGATGAACTACAGGCCTATAGCTACGCTATAGATACGTATATCTAGAACAACTCCAGTGTTATTTTTCAAACATGTTTAAACTTGTTGTCTTCCATATTACAGGAATCATCTTACAGGGAAATTAGACTGTGGCCCAAAGTGTTGCTTATTGTTTATTTCTGCTGCAAATAATGGCATCATTATATGTAAATAATCACATATTAAGCAGCTTAAAGGTTTATGAGGTAATGTCAACATGAAAAATTATAGAATCTGTTAACTCGTCTTTCTGGTCAGACTGAAACTACATTTCTTTAAACTAAGGCTGTTTATAGAGTTATCTGCAGCAGGTTCTTCAGAGTTCTCTGATTAGAGCGTGACCTTCGTGGCTGTAACATACAACCCCCCATGTTGCTCCATGAGTAGTTTCCCTAACACAAACACAGACTGAATCATGTGACGGCTGAGGATGAATGCACAGGAGTGGTGGTGATCTCTCCTGAGCTTCCTGTGCTTATCGTTGTGTCTGAGTATTTCCTCCAGGGGCCAATTAGAGCATTTTCTAATGAATCTGTGTATGCATTAAAACAAGCTGGTCCCCGTCATCTGCAGACGCTAATCTGTTTAAATGGGAATCAGAGTCAAAGAGAAAATAACAAGCTTTTGATCCTGTTTTTATTTAGCTAACATCCGTTCACATAATGAGGAGGCTGAGGAAGAGCTGTTTTTTTTTATTACAGGGAGTGTTGTCATTCTACAAGGGCGGAAAGGAGTTATCCAGTCATTGGGTTTCCCAAATGCATATCCTGCTCATTCCAGCCATTCCTGGAAGATATCCGTGTCTAAAGGATTACTGGTGAAGCTGCAGATCACTGACATGGCCGTTGCGGGAGAGACCGGACAGTGCAAAGAGGACAAGCTGGTCATCTCAGATGACTACAGTATCCTCGGTGAGCCGTGACTTCATGTTTGGTTGTTGTTGGGATTCTTTTGATTGTTGGAGTCATATTTGTGAATTTTACATTTTAGAAATGCTTTACCTGTAAAACATGCAGTTGACTAAAATGCATCCAGGGCGTGTTTGGTGCATCTTCCATCTTTTCTGTTTCTGGGGGGTGAGCTAAAATAGGAATATTTGTTCCTCAAAAGTGTTGAATATGATCTCTCTGTTGTTTTGCACAGAGAAAATGTAGAAAGGATGTCTCATCATTTGGTTTATGAGCTGCAGTGGAGAGACATGCAGACTCTCACAGCTGTTGCAGCAAGGTGGTGGGATTGTTTTAGCTGAGAGTGCACGTGAATGTGCAGCAAAAAGGCTGAAATGGATTCGTTTAAAAACAAAACTTCTAGAAAAGAAATCAAAAGGCACATTAACATCATCATTCATCATTCACTAAAGACTGAATTACATAATATTCCCTATTTTCGATAATAAAAATTCTGACGATTGTTTCTTCTGATCATGGAAAATCATTCTTTCATGGATTATGTATTTTTAAAGGCGTGGCTCACAAAAAAACTATTTTTAATGATTATTGCTGATTATTGACAAAAATAAAATGTATAAAATGGAAAAAAATATTTACTAAAGTTGTGGTTCACTGAAAAAAAAACATTTTTAATTATTATTTATGATTATAATCGGTCTCTCTGAGTTTTTATGCAGGCTGAACATGAAAATAGTCTCCTACACCTATCTGCTGCATTAGCTTTTGATAGAAAATAGACGAAACTCTAGGATTTCAAAAGCCCGACGGATCTACGTCACACTGACTCTTCTTGACATTCATGGGCTCACCCATCTTGGCTAATGACAGAGAAGCCTGTTGCTGGTTTAGCATCCAGGAAACAGCACAGAACATCTTGACTAGCAGAAGCTAACCTTTAGCAGTAGCCACACCATCACACGGCAGAAGTTCCGACAGGCTTATTTTATTTGTGGAGATGAAACATCAGTGTTTTGAAGCAAACAGAGTCAGTGGTAGAGTTGCTGTTGTCCAAGATGTCTAAATATCAGGAAGTAAGACTCCAAATGTTGTCTGAGGTTACTTTTTCCTCCAGCGGACTTGTACTTCATGAAACAGGCACATCTGCGCATCAACGGGGCAGTTCGCCATTACATCACAGAAGAACTACATAAAGCATAAATAACGTAAAACAATACGTCGTTTTTCTAAATAGACGTGCTGTGACTGGTCGACAACAAACCTGGCCGGGCTTGCGAAGGTTCCAGTGGAGTGTGCCGCAACCAAAGTGTAAAGCAAAATTATTTTCCTTCTGCAAATGACGGTCTAGGTTCTACTATAAAACAGCAGATTTTAAGAGTCATGAAAAAAAAACGTTTTCAGCTAGTTTTCCCAAATTAAGGATTGCCGCTTTAAATACACACATTAAATTAGATGTAAGAAATAAAATAAAAAGGCAAGACTGAGCAGTTAGAGTGCAGAAGGTGTAGCTTCAAACTACCCGAGCAAACCTGACGCTAACAGAGATTTTGGGGTGCTTTGAGCCAGAAAAACACAGTTGAGCGACTCAAAGTGAAGCACACATCAACTCAATGGTGTTTCTGTGGTCTCCCTCAGAGAGTTTCACAAGCAACCAGGACTACAGGCTTGCATGGGAGCCGGGCAGCTGTGCTGGGAACCTTTAACTGGTTGCAGCTGGCTGCCCGTGTCTAGCAACTGTTCCCGGGTGGGAGACGGGAGACGCCGGGCACCCACCTTACTTGGCTGCCTCTGAGAGGCTGGAACGCAGATCTCTGACCTCCTGCTAAAGGGAGAGACATGGTATTGAAATTCGGCAACACTCCCTTCCACAGCGGCAACCTCGCAGGTCTTTGACTGCAGTGGACCAGTGAAGCCCGGAACCCCCCACCCCCACCCCCCACCCCTCGGCGAGGGCCATCCTACATAGCCCGAGTTTTGTTACCCAGCAAGCCCCTCTGAAACATTTAAGTCTGATCCTGGAAAAGCAAAATCATTATAAATCAAGAAAGAAAATACTATTTTAACAGCAGTTAAACGCAGTTTTAATAGAAATTTGTCAGCAGAAGCCCAAATCAATGAGCCCCAGCCCTAAGGGCAAATGTTTGGCATTTTATACTTTAATTACATCATCAGACATTTATTGTAAACTTGCAAAGGAACTGTTGATGATAACAATAACAAAATAGTTTTATTTAGAGATCTTGCTAATGTTGTATCTGTAATCACACTAAACCTCCTCCCTGCTACACTGCTAACTGTTTTTATTCTTATCTATGCAGCTTCGAGTCACTGACTCTGCTTCTTCATTATCTTCTATCTTCTGCACCTGATCTTATCCTTCTTTCTCAGGTACACACTGTGGCCACATCCTTCCTCCACTGTTGGTCAGTGCCACCAACACAATGTCTGTCACCTTCCAGTCTGACGATCGCCTCACTGACAAAGGATTCTCTGCCAACTGGGAGGCTGTGTATCCTGAGGATATTTCAGGTATGGACAAGTGTTGCAAATGCATACTCAGCACATCAGCAGCTCATTTTCTAACAAAAAATGACTCCTTCATATATTCATACATGTTGTTGTCAGACTTTGGGTCAGAGTACAAAGATAAATTGAGATAAAACACCTGCATCTTTTATCGTCATGATCATCAGGTCAGGAATAGACGTGAAGCCCTTCTAGTGATAGAAGTCCCTAAAGCCTGAGTCATGCTTCTCCATCAGCTCCAAAAGGGAGAGACACATGTACGCACGGTCTGACATTTTGCCCTCATAGTTCTTCATCTCCTGGAGAGTGTTGCAAAGCAATTCCCCGCCAGGACAGCAGAGGGCGTAGCGCTGTTCTGTGGTATCCTGTCATGTATCCGGTCCAAGATAGTGTGTTTATATTGTGTTTTTTTTTTGTATATAAGAGACTTTTTAACACGGACAAATTTGTCTCTCATCCTCCTCCACCTCTTCATGCGCTCGCCACCTCTAAACCCACGTTTCCTGTCATTTCCTTCCACAAATAAAACGCTTGCTGCGCATCTTTTCACTCCTCCAGTCACGGGGGAATTAAACGTTCATATTTTAGAGTTTTTTCACGAGATATTCTTCATGCTTCTCCGTGTCTGCCGCTAGTTATCCTCGGCTCTCTTTATGTTTTTGAGGGCGCAATGGCGGCGGTGTAGACGACAGCGGCGTCCTGACCAATCACAAACTAGCATTCTCCGTCTCGACGGACGGATGTAATTATCCAATAGAAGGCGCCTACCTATTTGCTTAGTTAAATCCAGGTGGTGACTGTGGGCTAAGCAGTGAATGTGTGCGTGCGCGCACACACACACACACACACACACACACACACACACACACACACACATACACACATATGTATATAAGAATGGCTTGTGATTATATAGCATCTTCTAGGGTTCTACGACTCCCCATGGTGCTTTACAATGCAGTCATTCACTCACTGGAGGTGATGAGCTACCCTACCTATAATCATTACGGTAGGGTAGCATAAAATCTACATCTACCCATCCATCTTCATCCGCTTATCTGAAGGTCGCAGGAACAGCAACCTAAGCAGAAAGGCCCAGACATCCCTCTCCCAAGCCACTAGGGCCAGTTCCTCCGGAGGAATCCCGAGGCAGTTCCAGGCTGCCTGAGAGACAGTCCCTCCACCGTGTCCTGGGTCTTCTTTTAGGTCTCCTCTCGGTTGGGCGTGCCCGGAAAACCTCACCGGGGAAGCGTCCAGGAGGCATCCCGACTAAATACCCAATTTACATTTGAAAATGATCAATGAAATTACTCGAGAGTAATTATAGATTGTCTGTTAACTCTTTTGACTGTTTTTTTACCACTTGTTTTCCTTTGTCACATGATGTATCCTGTGCTTTCCTCCTCTCATTTCCTGTTTCCTGTTTCAGAAATCCAGGGCTGCGGTTTTTCCTCCAAAGAGGAAACTGGAGTCATTAAGTCCCAAAACTGGCCAATGAACTACAAGTCCAATACCGAGTGCATGTGGAACATCGCTTTGCCTCTTGGGAAAAAAATCACTGTGACGTTCACCCATTTTGACCTGGAAGCCAAAGATTTCCTAACACTGAAGTGTTACGATAATATAAAGCTGTATGACATCAATGGTTCGACTAATACACTGATGCAAAAGCATGGTAAGCATGATTATAACCTGAGAATGGCCAATTTCCAGAGGTTTTATATTTATGTTTATACCGAAGTAGAACAGCTGCATTTAATTTTCATTCATTTTGAGTTCTTTTTTGCTTCTAGGTCCGTTTTGTGGGAAGAAGCTGCCCGATAGCATCCAGACAAAAGGCAACAAGCTGCTGATTCGTTTTCATACAGACCTGTTTACTGAGGCCAAAGGCTTCAGAGCCTATTGGAATACAAATCCCAGTCTTCCTGCTCCCACTGAGCCTCCTGTTGAGCCAAATCCCCGGGATGGCATCCCGCTGGGTAGAGCATCAGTGTCAGACCAAAACTATGGAGATTTTTAAGTGCTTTAATGGCATAAACTCATAAAACATGCTTCCACTCAGTTCTGCTAAACCTTTTTATGTATGTCATGGCATTGTTCATGGTAAATAAATAAATGCATACAGGTTTTGTGCCTTGGTCGCCCTTAACTAAAGGCTTTTTGGGGTTTGTCCAATAGTTAGATATATAGAGCCTGACTTCAAATTGTATTAGTGACATTTAAAAGGGAAAGCTATACTTTTATGTAATGTTCAGTCATGCTAATTTTATGTTGTGCTCCAAATTTATCTCCTTTTGCTGCAGCATTTTCTTAGTGATGATAAAATTTAAGAACATATATCTAGTAAAGTATGTGTTCCATTTTGAATTGAATGACAATGTTTTACTTAAAAAAATGTGCTTTTCTACATTTTTTACTAAATGTTTTATTGACCCTTCCAATGTGCTAATGATCAAAGGGATTTGTTTTGCTGAGAACGACGTAAAGACTGCTTCACCTCGCCCCGCCCCGGTCGTCGCAGATGAGCCCCAGGTGGCTGCTGACAAATCAATTCCTGAAACTGAGTTTTATGGATGCTGCTGATCAGATCTTTTTTCCCCGCAGAGGTTCAAACAGAGGTGAACTATGAGTCATATGACAAAAAAAAAATCTGACCACGACTTTTAGATATGCAGATCTTTGAAAAACGTTTAAATGGGAAAACGTTCTGCTATGCAACATCTGTAAAAGACTAGTTCTAAAGGAAAAGTCACAAACATCTCTTGCAGACTGGCCTGTTTGTGGGAAACAATGAATTATGTACTATGGAAAAATTATGTCCATAGGCTCGAATGATACTTTTGTTGAGAGAAAAAGGGAGGTTCCCACCACCGCTATTTTTGCTGTGTCACATGTCTTGTCATGCCCAGCCAATACAAGCTACCAGCTAACCTATCTAACCCAAGAAGCTAAGAAGGACCTGTAGTCATGCTGGCAATATTATGGGCTGTTAAAATACAATCAGAACCTCAGACCGCTGCGATCGGATCCGTCACCCTGGCCACTTACGTGAGGTCAGTTTCCGCCTAGGTCGGAGATCAGCAAGAGATTAGCTACATGCCAGTCAGCCAGCCAGTCTCAACAACAGGGGCGGATTTAGGACTGAAGAAGATCTGGGGCTTAACACACACGCGTGCGCGCACACACACACGTGACACGCACTAGTCAACATCATATATGTCTTGTACCACATAATTTTTAATCTGAAGCTACATATTAAGCATATTCAGGGCAGAGTATTGTTCCTGTTAGTGTTTAGTGTGAGATGATAGTAAATATTTCCTTTCTTTCTCCATCAACTTTACCTGATAGTAAGCTAACTTTAGGTAAACCAGCAGCACAACAAATATTTTCAAATAAGACTCACAAACCTGAGTCAGCACCAGTCTCATCAAAGCTGGGGTTCTGTCGTGGTACTTTTTGTCTAAAAAACGTCCTTATGTCCATCTTCACTCATGTGTTTCAGGCAGACTGCAGAAGAAGCCGGCTGCTGAAGGGCTTCTTCTTCAGTGGTGGAGGCTCAGGCAGGCTGTATACAAACTACTGCCAGCTGCTCCCTCTCTGTTGGACTTTGGTACTGCATGTTACTTCCGCAATTTAGATCCGGGGCTTTTCATGAAACATCCGGGGCTTCAGCCCAAGTAGCCGGGCCTAACGCCGCCCCTGCCCAACAACACATCATATTTCAACCCATCTAGGCATGACGAGGCATGTGACATGACCAAAATGGCGGTGGTGGAAACCTTCCATTGGGCTTCAAACCTGCCCCCCCACAAAGCAATGGGCGGGGTTTGTCCTTCTTCTTTATATGTCAATGATTTCACCAGAAAAGCTATAAAACAATGCGCCGATCAAAAAGCAAACACACACAGCAAGTGATTGACATACACATACACATACAGAGTAGCCTGTAACCACATCATCAGAGGATTAATGGCTACCTCAGCCTTTTCTTTTCTTGGTTGTACTCCGAACATTAGCGCTAAACTAAGGCTTATTATCTTTATCAGTTGGTTTGTCGGTGATGACGTTTATGATGAAACTGATTAGATGAACAGATTTCCCAGCATGCTTTTTTTTTTGTAAATGTTGAAAATAAAATTACTGCGATGGACTGGCTCTCTGTCCAGGGTGTACCCTGCCTAATTGCCCGTTGACCGCTGGAGATAGGCACCAGCCCCCCCCCACCCCCCCACCCCCACCACCACCACCACCACCACCACCACCACCCCCCCACCCCCCCACCCCCCCCCACCCCCGCGACCCTGCATGGACAAAGTGGGTTTAGAAAATGGACGGATGGAAAATAAAATTGATGAGTTATAGTTCATTCTTACTGACAGCAAATGTAATATTATCGATACTGAAATTAGAAATGCCATAACTTAAGAAAATTAAAAGATGACATTAACAAACTAGAAATTTCCTAAAGAAATTTTAAAAGGGACCTGCCAGCTTGCAAAAGAGAGAGGCAATGGCTAACCATTAGGGGCTCTCCATCGGTAGCAGTTTTTAAAATGAGGCTGAAAACCTACTTTTACGATCTGGCTTTTAATTCTGTGGGTTAGCAATTGCTAATGTTTTATATTTTGTAATTCTTATTTGTGGTTTTAATTTTGTCTGTGGCGCTATGTTTTATTCTTCTGTTGTACAGCACCTTGGTGGCATGCTCATGCCTGTAAGGTGCTTTATAAATAAAGGCTGATTGATTGATTGATTGATTGATTGATTGATTGATTGATTGATTGATTGATTGATTGATTGATTGATTGATTGATTGATTGGTTGATTGATTGATTGATTGATTGGTTGATTGATTGATTGATTGATTGATTGATTGATTGATTGATTGATTGATTGATTGATTGATTGATTGATAAAGGTGCAGTATGTAAGAATATATGAGACTTTTACAGTGAGAAAATCCCAAAAGAGTGTATTGTTTCAGTCATTTTGGGAGGAAAGTTATACTGAAACATATTTCATATCTAGCTGGCTGCGGGGATTGTCAGTCATTCTCCTTTCAAAACAAAGGAAGGAGGGATGGAGCTACTGTTTACCATCAGTGAGTGTGGGGTTGTCGTGTCTCCTGTGAGCTAATACTGCAGCACCAACAATTGTTATGACTAAGGCCTACAAAAAGCTCCGGATTTATTTAAAGTGGTTGCAGTGACCAACTTTTACCATAAGATGTCGCTATTACTTCATTTCTACCTTTAGAAAAACCTAGTCATGATTTTGGGGTGATGTCAGGGTGATCACCCCAAAATAATGATATTTGGGTCATGCTGGGGTGAATAACCCCAAAATTATTATATTTGGGTGACTTTGGCGTGAGTACCACAAAATCATGACATGTCACTCTTCCCTGGCTGAATGCGTACATGGGAGATTTGACTGGATAGGCAGATTGAGACATGCACGCACCCAAAATGAGAAAATGTTTGAATGTTTGAAGTTATTTGCTAGTAATTTTGCCATGGTGAATTGGATCGCTTAAAAAAGTGATAGCACACCTCCCACAGCCAAACCACCCGTTTTTATGTATAATTTGTGGGGGTGCACACTGCCGTTCAAACTACATCCTGCGATGATTAACAATAAGGGCCCTGCTAGCAGCAGGTCTCTTAACTAGCTGAGAGCTGCACCTTGACAGAGAGATGGAGTTGACTGATATTTACATCAGGCAGTTTTGTGATTATGGTGTGATAGGACTGCTGCGTTTTACTTTGTGTCGTAATTAACAACACAGAATCTACATGCTTGTATCCAGCCTGTTATCAGAGATATATGATAGGCCCATCAACAACAATAAGAAAGAAAAAGACAGTGCTGCCAAAAATAAAGATTGTACCGGCCCAAAATAAATGAACAAAAAACTTCCATAACTGGCTCAAAATAATTTAAAAAATTACCGTCAGCCTGGCCCAAAATTACCACCGGCCCACTAGCTAAATGGCCGCCTTGCCCAATGGCCAGTACAGCCCAGGCTTCAAGTACCCCACAGTGCCCACGGTGGAGTTTGACAATGCCCTGGCGAAGTTGGTGGAGGACGTGGTACCCAGAGATAAGATTTCATACACTTGCCTCCATTCTGAGGAGGAAATCCTCCCTGAAGAAAAAAAGTGCTACGCCACCAGCTGAGGGGATGAGACAGGAGCAGTTTCTTATGTTCGTGTTTATGCAGATGTTTCACGAAAACCCTGTGTGACTAACAGTCTGTGCTGCTGGTGGTGGTCGGAGGGACTGGTGGCACAAGGCCTTGCCTCTGTCATTGCGCTCCAGCCCAGGGCAGCTGTGGCTACATTGCAGCTCATCCCCACCAGTGTGTAGATGTGTGTGTGAATGGGTGAATGACTGACTGGGGAATTGTAGAACCCTAGGAAGGTGCTATACAAATACAGGCCACTTACCATAGGCATTCATCATTTATTAGTTTGCATTGCCACCTGCTGGACTGATTGTGCGATTCCCTCTGCTGTCACTTGTTTTTTGATGGCCTAGTGTAAAAAGACACTAGCTGCGTTTACATGGACATATTTAATCAGAATAAAAGCCTGATCGGAATTAAAATGCGTCATGTTATCAAGCCATTCTGAATTCTCTGACCCGATTAAACTCAATCAGATCAACTTTTCATTCCGATTGAAACAGCTGGGTTATGCCGATTGTTAATCCGATCATGGTGCATGAAAACAACCGAGTGACTACTGTGCATTACTGCGCATGTCAGTAACGTCTCCTGGAGCCATATAACTCTCCATTAACGAGCAAAGTTTCATGGATGACGCTCGTGACATGTGGAAATTCTGCTTCCACTCTTGATCGGTCAACTCCAAAAAAACAATCCTCTCCCACCAGTCTTTACTCCTCACCTTCATCCAGTGGCTCCTTGTCTTTGCAGGAGGAGGGGAGGGGGGATTAAAGTTAAGGGTCTTGGCATTAAGACATTTTCATCCTACTGTCTCCCCCTATTTAACATCTGGAAAACTTTAAACAGTTTGGTTTGTATTTGTAAAGTTGTGACGACAAAAAATAAAATCACGCTCCGAAAAACATCGTAGTGCTCCATTTTTACACGCACGCAGCCATGTTTGTTTACAGAGGAAGTCCGCTACTTCTTCTTCTACGGTCTTTTTCAATGTAATAGATCGATCTGCGCATGACAAAATGGTTTATTCCAATCAAATTTATGATGAATGTAAACACTTGACATAATCGGATTAAAATTTTCAGTGCACAGTCATATTCTAATCCGAATGATGATCGGATTAAAGACATTTTGCACATGTAAACTCAGCGACTGTCTCAATGCAATCTACTGGGTT